CATAGGAGGTGTTTGGAAACATGAAAAACATCAAATATCTTCTGATTATTAAAACCTAATGTTTGGCCTTTTGTCACACTTTTGTGCCCTTTTCTCAAGTTTCATTTTAAGAAACAAATGGACGGAAACTTCACGTCCATTACATATTTTTTAGGGGCATTTAAACTTGTATTGATTTGTTTTGAATGATTCCTTTTTAAATGCAGTGATTGATGTTGTTGATGTGAATCTGTGAAGTTCCTCTCTGTCTCTGAGCCACAGAATGATCCAATCAGAGCCTGACCTGGACTTTTGAAATTTCACCAAAAACGTGTTTATTAATCTTTCCTTTTGACTCTATCCACACTTCTCTTTGATCCGTCTGTTTTTATTCTGATCTATGAGAATAGTTTTTGAGTTATAACCTTTAAAAGTCCAGAAACTTTACAGTGAACACCATTTTTTATACAAAGAGACGGTTTATTTTGTCGTTTCATGTTTTAGAATCTGGAAATATGTCGTCAGAAACAAGAATGAAGGTAAACAAATGCTTTTCAGCTGTAAGTCTCTGTGCTGCCACCAGAGGGAGCTACAAACACAGGATGTGATTGTAAAGAATGTTATTTCCCCTGAGAAAACCCGGGGTTCGAATCCCGGTCGGAACAGGGCCTTTCTGAGTGGAGTTTGCATCTTCTCCCCATGTCTGCGTAGGATTTCTCCGGGTGCTCCGGTTTTCCCTACCACTAAAAACATGCACAATAGGTCTGAATGTAACGAGTGAGGGTGTTTGGTCGGAGGCTTTTATGGACCAGTGTGTTCTGTCATCACCGTGTGGAGAGAGTGGAACCAGATCTGAACTCTGTGAAGCGCTTTGATCGACCTTGGTCTGTAAAATGTGCTATAAATAAACATTAGTTTCTTAGAAATCACCAAAACTATTTTATCTGCAACACTTTTGTTTTAAAGTCAGAAAACTGAGTGTGATGTCATCAAGGAACAGTGATGTCACACTATCACAGGACTCTGATGTTCCAACTTCAACTAATGGGACTGAGACTGGGACTGGGACTAAGACTGAGACTGGGACTGGGACTAAGACTGAGACTGAGACTGGGACTGGGACTAAGACTGAGACTGGGACTGGGACTAAGACTGAGACTGGGACCGGGACTAAGACTGAGACTGAGACTGGGACTGGGACTAAGACTGAGACTGGGACTAAGACTGAGACTGGGACTGGGACTAAGACTGAGACTGGGACTGGGACTAAGACTGAGACTGGGACTGGGACTAAGACTGAGACTGGGACTGGGACTAAGACTGAGACTGAGACTGGGACTGGGACTAAGACTGAGACTGGGACTGGGACTAAGACTGAGACTGGGACCGGGACTAAGACTGAGACTGAGACTGGGACTGGGACTAAGACTGAGACTGGGACTAAGACTGAGACTGGGACTGGGACTAAGACTGAGACTGGGACTAAGACTGAGACTGGGACTGGGACTAAGACTGAGACTGGGACTGGGACTAAGACTGAGACTGGGACCGGGACTAAGACTGAGACTGGGACCGGCACTAAGACTGAGACTGGGACTGGGACTAAGACTGGGACTGGGACTGGGACTAAGACTGAGACTGGTACTGGGACTAAGACTGAGACTGGGACTGGCACTAAGACTGAGACTGGGACTGGGACTAAGACTGAGACTTGGACTGGGACAAAGACTGAGACTCGGACTGAAACTAAGACTGAGACTAAGACTGAGACTAAGACTGAGACTCAGGACTGAGACTCGGACTGGGACTCGGACTGGGAATAAGACTGAGACTCAGGACTGAGACTCGGACTGAGACTAAGACTGGGACTAAGACTGAGACTTGGACTGAGACTCAGGACTGGGACTCGGACTGGGACTAAGACAGAGACTCAGGACTGGGACTAAGACTGAGACTCGGAATGGGACTAAGGCTGAGACTTGGACTGAGACTCAGGACTGGGACTTGGACTGGGACTAAGACTGAGACTCGAACTGGGACTAAGACTGAGACTCAGGACTGAGACTCGGACTGAGACTGAGACTGAGACTCGGACTGAGACTAAGACTGAGACTCGGACTGGGACCAAGACTGAGACTTGGACTGGGACTAAGACTGAGACTAGGACTGAGACTAAGACTGAGACAAAGACTGAGACAAAGACTGAGACAAAGACTGAGACAAGGACTGAGACAAGGACTGAGACAAAGACTGAGACAAAGACTGAGACAAAGACTGAGACAAAGACTGAGACAAAGACTGAGACAAAGACTGGGGCCAAGACTGAGACACAGACACAAACACACACACACATACACACACACACAGACAAAGACAGATGCACACGCACACACACACACAGACAAAGACAGACGCACACACACACTCTGCTGGGGTCACATGTTGAGACTCGGTCCCTGTGAAGTGTGTCCAGTTTGTTCATGTTTAAAGTCTGAACATGTAAATCCAGGTTAGATCAAAGTGTGAGCAAACATCTGGAGGAGCTACAGATCTGGGGTCACATGGGAGAGATGTTCTCACGTTTCATTCAATTCATTTATATTTACAACCCTAAATCACAGGACTTCACAAATGCACTGTTCAGACCCTCCTGCAGGGCTCAGGCTGTAGACCCAGGACTGAGACTATAGACCCAGGCCTGAGGCTGTAGACCCAGGACTGAGACTGTAGATCCAGGACTGAGACTATAGACCCAGGACTGAGACTGTAGATCCAGGACTGAGACTATAGACCCAGGACTGAGATTGTAGATCCAGGACTGAGACTGTAGATCCAGGACTGAGACTGTAGACCCAGGACTGAGATTGTAGATCCAGGACTGAGACTGTAGATCCAGGACTGAGACTATAGACCCAGGACTGAGACTGTAGATCCAGGACTGAGACTATAGACCCAGGACTGAGACTGTAGATCCAGGACTGAGACTATAGATCCAGGACTGAGACTGTAGATCCAGGACTGAGACTGTAGACCCAGGACTGAGGCTGTAGATCCAGGACTGAGACTGTAGACCCAGGACTGAGGCTGTAGACCCAGGAATCTCTCTCTATGTCTCTCTCGCTCCCTCTCTCTCTCTCTCTCTCTCCCTCCTGTAGCTATTTAAATTGAAAAGACATTGAATGCAGTGTAGCCTGAACAATTGCGCCATCTAGTGACCAACAACATGAACCATCTATTCCCGTAAAGCACAATAGGTGGATACACAAAAGTACAATAGGTGTATACTGCGGACTAGCGGCTAAAGGGGGAAGTGCATCCGTCAAAACTAAATTTATATTAGTTTAGTACAACCGTATTTACTCTTTGTGAAGTGGAGGCCTGTAGTTTTGGCCTCTGATGACTAATTGGCACTCGTTATATGTGTATAGCGAGATATGGACCACCACAGTGGCCTGTTGTTTGGTAAATGTAAGTTTGGATCTACCGCCTCAGTCCTGGGTCTATAGCCTCTACAGCCTCAGTCCTGGGTCTACAGCCTCAGTCCTGGATCTACAGCCTCAGTCCTGGGTCTACAGCCTCAGTCCTGGATCTACAGCCTCAGTCCTGGGTCTACAGCCTCAGTCCTGTATCTACAGCCTCAGTCCTGGATCTGCAGCCTCAGTCTTGGATCTACAGCCTCAGTCCTGGGTCTACAGCCTCAGTCCTGGATCTACAGCCTCAGTCCTGGATCTACAGCCTCAGTCCAGGATCTACAGCCTCAGTCCTGGATCTGCAGCCTCAGTCTTGGATCTACAGCCTCAGTCCTGGATCTACAGCCTCAGTCCTGGATCTACAGCCTCAGTCCTGGGTCTACAGCCTCAGTCCTGGATCTACAGCCTCAGTCCTGGGTCTATAGCCTCTACAGCCTCAGTCCTGGGTCTACAGCCTCAGTCCTGGATCTATACAGCCTCAGTCCTGGGTCTACAGTCTCAGTCCTCTCTCTGTGTCTCGGACCTGATCCTTTGATGGAATGAGCTGAAGCTTGTTTCAGATCCACATTTGATTATTGATTATCAGAAATGATTCCTTTAAGTAAGTGATTTCCTGATGTGTTGATGTTGATCCGTGGGAGTTCATCATCTCACTGAGTCGATCCAATAAGAGTCTTGATCCGTCTGTGTTTTTTATTTTATTTTTTATCTATGATAGTAATCTTAGTTTTTGAGTTATAACCATAACCTTTGAAAGTCCAGATTCTTTAATTGACTCATTACTGTGAACACATTATACTTATTATATATAACGTGTTAGTTATGAAACCAAAACAGTTCATTACTCCAGCTTTAAGGGTAAAAGTGGTTTAAAGATCCAGAAAACTAATGCATGCACATTCAGCTATGGCCCCACCTCCTCTGTTTGAAGCCGTCGGAAGTGATGTTGGGTCCGGGTGCAGGTTCAGCTCCCTCCCCTCTCATCTGTCAAAACAGCGGAACATTGAACAGAACCACCTCGCTCATTTTTACTATTTAAACCACTATTTTTATACTTTAAACCCTTTCCCAAACTTTACATCCCGAATTACGCTACTTTTTACACTTTGGCTTTGTTAATTAGCCGTTAATAACGATTGCAACGGTCGCGGTGAAGCTAATGCTAGCCGAGTGTTTAAGCCGAGAACAGTGGCCAGGGTTTTTGGACGCTGCGTCTCTCGGTCTTCATGTAGTCAACGCCACATCCCAGTGGGTCTTAAACATTAGGCATAATAACGAACCGCTTATGGGGGTTATTTCGGACATCATCCCAGACCCTTACCACTAGTGGCCCGTTTTTCAACACATTTGCGGGAGTGAAGGGACCACTGAAAAACAACCCACACCAGCAGCGAGCAAGCGGAGGCGAGAGGAGTGGCCGAAAAACGGCTTACTCATCAACGTGGCGGAGGCGCGCGGCCTCACACCGGGGGACAAGCCACGGCTTACTCCACGCGGCGATGTGGTGGTGGTGTGGGGGTAGCGCGAACTGCACCACACTCGTCTACTAAGGCCGGAGACTCACAAACGACACAATGCTGCAAACGTGGATCCACATGCCGGGGCAAGTGGGGGAAAGTTGGTCCCGAACGGTGCAGCGAGCCCCGGGGGAGATAAGGCAGTCAAGCCGCTCCGCAAGAACTCTCTCACGGGAGACGCTGGGCAAGAGTTCATCATCGAGAACCGGTTTTTGTACTATATATTCACGTTTGGGACTGAGCTGGGGAATGAGTTGTTTTACATTACGTTTTTCCCGTTTGTAATGTGGAATATTGACGCGTTCGTGGCTCGGAGGATCATCCTGGTCTGGGTCTGGGTCATGTACTTGGGCCAGTGCACCAAGGACCTTCTCGGCTGGTCCAGACCTGCCTCGCCGCCCGTGGTGAAGGTGGAAATGTTTTACAACTCAGAGTACAGCATGCCCTCCACGCACGCCATGTCGGGCACTGCCATCCCCTTCGCCCTGTTCTACATGACGCACGCCCGCTGGGAGGTAGGTCCGACCCGGGGAGATGGGGTCCAGAAGCACCCTCAAACCCCCACCCCACACAAGGTGTATGTTCTCCTGCTGTAGCCACTGAGACGGAGTGGTGATCGACCCATGGGTGACTCCACATGTCAGGACTGGGTCTGGTCCCAGGTTTGGCTGAGGCTGTAGATCCAGGACTGAGGCTGTAGATCCAGGACTGAGGCTGTAGATCCAGGACTGAGGCTGTAGATCCAGGACTGAGGCTGTAGATCCAGGACTGAGGCCGTAGATCCAGGACTGAGGCCGTAGACCCAGGACTTAGGCCTTAGACCCAGGACTTAGGCCGTAGACCCAGGACTTAGGCCCCTAGTAGACCCAGGACTAGGCCGTAGACCCAGGACTTATGCCGTAGACCCAGGACTGAGGCCGTAGATCCAGGACTGAGGCGGTAGATCCAGGACTGAGGCCGTAGATCCAGGACTGAGGCTGTATATCCAGGACTGAGCGCACGCGTACGATCCAGGACTGAGGCCGTAGATCCAGGACTGAGGCCGTAGATCCAGGACTGAGGCCGTAGATCCAGGACTGAGGCCGTAGATCCAGGACTGAGGCCGTAGATCCAGGACTGAGGCCAGGACTGAGGCCGTAGATCCAGGACTGAGTCCAGGACTGAGGCCGTAGATCCAGGACTGAGGCTGTAGATCCAGGACTGAGGCTGTAGATCCAGGACTGAGGCCGTAGATCCAGGACTGAGGCCGTAGATCCAGGACTGAGGCCGTAGATCCAGGACTGAGGCCGTAGATCCAGGACTGAGTCCAGGACTGAGGCCGTAGATCCAGGACTGAGTCCAGGACTGAGGCCGTAGATCCAGGACTGAGGGTTCATCTGAAAGGGGAAGTGTTCTGTTTTGCTTCTGCTTTTGTCATATCAAAGGGAAGTATTTGAATCATAATAATGTGTTTTATCTTGAACGTGCAGAGAAGAAAACTGTTTGGTCCGACTCACAAAAATATATAAATGACTCCGGTGCTTTGAGGATAACGCTCAAGAAGCACTCACCACTTCACTCTCTCCCCCAGTGTTTGACCTGCTCCCCTACTGTTCGTACTCACTTTGATCAGGTATTTTTGCTCGTAAGAAAATAAATGGGGTCTGAGCGGCGCCTGCAGGGCCTTTGATGTCGCCATGTGAAGAGGTCTTTGTGATTTGCAGAAGTACGACTTGAAACAAAGTAACAGACGACTGTGAAGTCAAAGCAGAATGAGACGTGCAGAAGTATTCATACACCAGCACTTACACACAGTCTGTGGAATCTGCTTTTGCTACAAAACACAAGTATTTTTGGGATGTGACTTTACAGTATCTGCTCGTCTAGACACTGAACGTTTTGCCCATTTCTCTTTACAAAACAGCTCTCACACTCTCAGATCAGATGGAGAGCGCTTGTGGGTCTGGACTCTGACTGGGCTATTCTGACATTGTGCCGGGAACATAGGAGTGGACTGACAGAGTGTCTGAGTGTGACATCACCATAGTGTTAGCCTTAATGCGGAATGATTTGTACATAAGCTAGCTGGAGCCAATTTCCTTATATGGGCATTTGATCCGACAGCGTTAAGTGACACAAAGGGTTACTGAGCAAGAGGAGTTTAGTTTTACATGTAAGTCAGTAGGAACCAGAGCGAGTTGGAGAAAAACTTCATCCATGAGCACTTCCCGTTTGGGCTTCATCGGACTCGTGGGTTAGAATTGTTTATCTGTACACAGGCTACGGCTAACAACATGAGATTCAGATTCATTTTTATTTGTCAGTTGCAGTAAAACCACATTGGAATACATTTGCCAAAGTCCCCAGTGTGCACAAGACAAGAAGATAAATAAAACATCATGTATTGTTTTGCTTTCACTTCACAGTTGTCTAGTCCTTGGCTCTGGTCGCAAATGTGAGGAAATTCAAAAGTTTATGTTGTGTTTGTCCCGTTTCAAACCTGTGTGACGCTGTACCTCAGTCTCGGCTCCGGAGCCGTCACTCTGAAGACGCTGACGACGCGGGCACAAGTGCAAACACTATTTAAATATTCATCAGGAGAAAGACGAGACCTAGGACTGAACCAGGTCTGAACAAGACCCGACTCTGATAGGGATCTGTCCTACATCCGACAGGTGCGAGAGCCTGAAGGAGGATACTGTGTGATGAGAGAGAGAGCGAGAGAGAGAGAGAGACCAAAAAAACTCCAATCAAGACAGACAGTGTTTTGCAATTTGCAAAATGCACCCAAAAACTTGATGAGATTGTGATTGTTGGCCCTGTTTGTGCTAACTAAAGTTAGCGGATAGCTGATGATGATGATTGACTTCACTTCCTGTGTCCACAGTACCCCTTTGCGGTGGGTCTGGCCGTGGCTCTGAGCTGGTGTGTCCTGGTCTGTGTGAGCCGCATCTACATGGGCATGCACTCTCTCCTGGTATGTACACATACTACTGCTACTGCTTCTACTGCTACTGCTGCTACTATGACAAAATGCTTTTACTATTGCTGCTCCTGCTACTGCTACTGCTACTATTGCTGCTCCTGCTACTGCTACTACTACTACTGCTACTATGACAAAATGCTTTTACTATTGCTGCTCCTGCTACTGTTGCTACTGTAACCTGTGACAACACGTGATATTTCCCCTTTGATACAAATGCAAGTTTTCATCAAGAGGCCAGAGAGAGAAAGGCCAGAGAGAGAAAGGCCAGAGAGAGAAAGGCCAGAGAGAGAGAGGCCAGAGAGAGAGAGGCCAGAGAGAGAGGGGCCAGAGAGAGAGAGGCCAGAGAGAGAGAGGCCAGAGAGAGAGAGGCCAGAGAGAGAGAGGCCAGAGAGAGAGAGGCCAGAGAGAGAGAGGCCAGAGAGAGAGAGGCCAGAGAGAGAGAGGCCAGAGAGAGAGAGGCCAGAGAGAGAGAGGCCAGAGAGAGAGAGGCCAGAGAGAGAGAGGCCAGAGAGAGAGAGGCCAGAGAGAGAGAGGCCAGAGAGAGAGAGGCCAGAGAGAGAGAGACCAGAGAGAGAGAGACCAGAGAGAGAGAGGCCAGAGAGAGAGAGGCCAGAGAGAGAGAGGCCAGAGAGAGAGAGGCCAGAGAGAGAGAGGCCAGAGAGAGAGAGGCCAGAGAGAGACAGGCCAGAGAGAGACAGGCCAGAGAGAGAGAGGCCAGAGAGAGAGAGACCAGAGAGAGAGAGAGAGACCAGAGAGAGAGAGAGAGACCAGAGAGAGCGAGAGAGAGAGAGACCAGTCTCAGTTATGCAGAAAATTAGAGGAAACGATACAATAGTCTACCCCTGAGTGGGGAGTGAACTGTATCAGAGTCCAGAGTCTCGGCTCTTTCAGTCAAGGCCAAGAGCAAAGTCCTGATCCTGACGCAATAGTCTCTCAATGGAGAAGACGATCACATGTGCTTTGTTCTGTAGATAAAGTAAAACACGATTTGACTCTCTGGGCTGAGAGCTGATTTCTCTCTCTCCGCTTAAAGCTCGGATACTTCACTTTTCTCTGCATCAGAAAATTCTGTGTACAAGGAAGAGCCCTGAGAAATTTGACCCTCTCTCTGGTCTCTCTGGTCTCTCTCTGGTCTCCCTCCATCTCTCTCTCTCTCTCTCTCTCTGGTGACCTTACCTCCTTCTGACCTTGTGTCTCCTCCTGACCACCTCCTGACCCTGTGTCTCCTCCTGACTACCTCCTGACCCTGTGTCTCCTCCTGACTACCTCCTGACCCTGTGTCTCCTCCTGACCACTTCCTAACCCTGTGTCTCCTCCTGACCACCTCCTGACCCTGTGTCTCCTCCTGACCACCTCCTGACCCTGTGTCTCCTCCTGACCACCTCCTGACCCTGTGTCTCCTCCTGACCACTTCCTAACCCTGTGTCTCCTCCTGACCACCTCCTGACCCTGTGTCTCCTCCTGACCACCTCCTGACCCTGTGTCTCCTCCTGACCTCCTTCTAACCCTGTGTCTCCTCCTGACCACCTCCTGACCCTGTGTCTCCTCCTGACCTCCTCCTGACCCTGTGTCTCCTCCTGACCACCTCCTGACCCTGTGTCTCCTCCTGACCTCCTTCTAACCCTGTGTCTCCTCCTGACCACCTCCTGACCCTGTGTCTCCTCCTGACCTCCTCCTGACCCTGTGTCTCCTCCTGACCACCTCCTGACCCTGTGTCTCCTCCTGACCTCCTTCTAACCCTGTGTCTCCTCCTGACCACCTCCTGACCCTGTGTCTCCTCCTGACCTCCTCCTGACCCTGTGTCTCCTCCTGACCACCTCCTGACCCTGTGTCTCCTCCTGACCACCTCCTGACCCTGTGTCTCCTCCTGACCTCCTTCTAACCCTGTGTCTCCTCCTGACCACCTCCTGACCCTGTGTCTCCTCCTGACCACCTCCTGACCCTGTGTCTCCTCCTGACCACCTCCTGACCCTGTGTCTCCTCCTGACCTCCTTCTAACCCTGTGTCTCCTCCTGACCACCTCCTGACCCTGTGTCTCCTCCTGACCTCCTTCTAACCCTGTGTCTCCTCCTGACCACCTCCTGACCCTGTGTCTCCTCCTGACCACCTCCTGACCCTGTGTCTCCTCCTGACCTCCTTCTAACCCTGTGTCTCCTCCTGACCACCTCCTGACCCTGTGTCTCCTCCTGACCTCCTCCTGACCCTGTGTCTCCTCCTGACCACCTCCTGACCCTGTGTCTCCTCCTGACCTCCTTCTAACCCTGTGTCTCCTCCTGACCACCTCCTGACCCTGTGTCTCCTCCTGACCTCCTCCTGACCCTGTGTCTCCTCCTGACCACCTCCTGACCCTGTGTCTCCTCCTGACCACCTCCTGACCCTGTGTCTCCTCCTGACCTCCTTCTAACCCTGTGTCTCCTCCTGACCACCTCCTGACCCTGTGTCTCCTCCTGACCACCTCCTGACCCTGTGTCTCCTCCTGACCTCCTCCTGACCCTGTGTCTCCTCCTGACCTCCTTCTAACCCTGTGTCTCCTCCTGACCACCTCCTGACCCTGTGTCTCCTCCTGACCACCTCCTGACCCTGTGTCTCCTCCTGACCTCCTTCTAACCCTGTGTCTCCTCCTGACCACCTCCTGACCCTGTGTCTCTCCTCAGGACGTCCTGGCCGGTGTGACCTACTCCTCCCTGATCCTGCTGGTGTCTCTGCCCGCTCTGGACCATGTGGACCTGTGGATCCTGCACAGTCCCTGGTCCCCGGTGCTGGTCCTGGGTCTGCCGCTGGTCCTGGCCCTGCTTTGTTTCCAGCTGGACGCCTGGAGCACGTCTCGCGGGGACACGGCTCAGATCCTGGGGACCGGGGCAGGTGTGGCTCTGGCGTCGCACGTGAACCTGCGCCTTGGCTGCAGCCGCGACCCGGCGCTGGCCGCACTCGCCACGGCGCCGCCGCTGACCCCCACCCTGCTGGCCGTTATGGCGATCAGGCTGGTGGTGGGCGTGGCCGTGCTGGTGGCCACGCGCGCCGTTATGAAGGCGGTTACCCTGACGACGCTGTGCCGAGTGCTGCGGCTGGGAGGAGGCGGCGACATGAGGCAGGCGCGGCAGCACATGGAGGTACAGTACTACTGCTGCTGGTACTGCTGCTGCTGATAGATGAACAATGCTAACCTGTTAGCTCAATGAGATCCAGTATGGAAGTAGCCTGGCCTAAGCCGTTCGTAAACTCGGTCAATAATTATTTTCCTGCATGTAACTTCTGGGTCTGGTTCCTGTGTTTGCGATTACAACGGTTGAATTCCATCCGGCCAATCAGAGAGCGCGGGAGGCGGATGTTGTAGTTAGATGTGGTTGATTTCAAGAGTTTGCGTCGAACGGGCAGGTTGTAGTTTGGCAATGGCGAAGAATGCAATGGTAAAGTCTGGTTTTATCCAGAAATTGAAGCCGGAGCATGTCATGAGGAATGTTTAGCAAATGTAATCACTGGCAAAGGTTGTGGCTCTACTCCCCACGGGCTCCGTTTGGGGGAGATGGCTAGGCTAAATGCTAAATGCCTCTTGGGTGCATTACACACGTCACAGTAAACGTAGATCCAATTGTTTCAATCTACAAAAGGAGTTAACCCCTCCCACCTGTTAACGGTGTGTGTCTGTCTCAGGTGGAGCTGCCCTACAGGTACATCGTCTATGGGACTGTGGGCTTCAACGTGCTCTTCCTCGTACCTCTGTTCTTCAGCTACGCACAGCTCTGAGGACTCCAGCTCCCATCGTGCATCTGTAAGAGGACTCCAGCTCCCATCAGGCATCTGTGAGGACTCCAGCTCCCATCAGGCATCTGTGAGGACTCCAGCTCCCATCATGCATCTGTGAGGACTCCAGCTCCCATCATGCATCTGTGAGGACTCCAGCTCCCATCATGCATCTGTGAGGACTCCAGCTCCCATCATGCATCTGTGAGGACTCCAGCTCCCATCATGCTTCTGTGAGTGGACTCCAGCTCCCATCATGCATCTGTGAGGACTCCAGCTCCCATCATGCTTCTGTGAGTGGACTCCAGGATCCACTGCCCTACGTTTAGGGGTGCAACGGTTTGAAAAAATCACGGTTCGGTTCGTACCTCGGTTCAGAGGCCACGGTTCGGTTCATTTTTCGGTTCATTTTTCAAAAAAAAAGTGTTGTCTTTTTAATAAACACAGCTCATGTGGACTCGGCACCTGCTCTGACTGCCCCCCCTGACCTAGAAATGAATTAAGGGGAAGGAAATGGATGGATGGATGGATGGAATATTCCATCCATCCAATTATGTCTATTTAACATAATTAATGAAAAACAACACAAAGTGCAACATAAGAAGGCACTTTATGAGGATATTTACCCTCATATATTACACCACCTTCCTGATTCTCCCAAGGAGGGGGTCCATTCTGGGCCCAGCCTCATTCACTGCATTTATTTAATTTTTGGCATTATCAGTTGTGACTGGGATATTAGTACTGGGCCTTTGTCTTCCATTCCTCCGCAGTACCTGCGCTGTGTGACTGTGTGACTGTCGTAGAGGGGGCGTGTCTTCAGCGCCAGACTTTTCATCTCCCAGTCTGCGGTGATGAAGTGAGCGGTTCTGCTCATGGATCTATTATAGGTTCCGCGGGACGTCCAAGCGTCAGTCGTGAGCGCAGCTGAGGATACGCGGGAGAGTTGACTTTAGCCCGGTCTGACTGTGCGTAAAGGAGCTGCTTAAATGCCGCGACAATAAGCGGTCGTTGAGACGCTTTTTTCACTCATGTCTTTCTTGTGCCACAGTGCTTACACATCGTGACAGTTTTGTCGAATATTAATTATCAGTGTAGTTACAGTGAAGCCAAAATGCTCTCATACTGGGGATTTAAATGACGCGGGGCTTTCAAGCATCTCCGTTCCTCCGCTCGCAATGACCGCGCTGTGTGTGGACTGAACAACGTGCGCACAACTTTTTTTTCATAAATCAAACCGCGGATAACGTCTGTACCGAACCGAAGACGTTGAACCGAACGGATCACGGATCAGTGATGAACCGTTGCACCTCTACCTACGTTGATAGTAGTCCTCCCTTTCACTCACTACGTTTACACTCACAAAGACCAGGACCAGGACTAGGGTGCAGGACTTGGGCCAAGACTGTTCGCAGGATTGAGGTTCTTTTGTCCCAACCTGGATTTTTGTTTCTATACCGAATTATAACCAGTACACCCCTGGTCCTGCTGCCTTTCCAGGCCCTGGCATTGGCCCTTGCTCTGGTCCTCATCCCAGGCCCTGCCTTGGTCGTAGCTCTGGTCCTTATTCCGGCCCTGACCTGGTCCTGGTTCTAGCTCTGGTCCTTTATCCCAGCCCTGGTCTTGGTCCTGGCCTCGATCCTGACCTTGGTTCTTGCTCTGGTCCTTATCCTGGCCCTGGCCTTGGTCCTGCTCCTGGCTGTGGTCTTCATCCCGACCCTGGCCTTGGTCCTGGTCCTGCACTATTTTCCTGGTGGATCTAAGAGCTAGTCCATTTTTACATTGTTCAGATGTTTTCAAAGAATCCAAACAACGTCATCAAAACCACCATGTCCGGGTCCGGGACCAGGTTTTGATAATGTTGTTTGGACCGGTCTTCCACCTGCTGTTCCCCAGTCTAAGGGCTGACCATGTAAAGCCTCGATGCCTTCCTGCAGCTCGACCACTGTGCTCGACACCGACTGTTATCGCTGCAACGGGAAAACAGTTTTGTATTTTTTGTACAGAATTTTTAAATGTTTTGCACTGGCCTTAAATACAAAACCACGACTCGTTCTCAGAAAAATGTTTAAGAGTATAAGAGCAAAGACCGGAATTCACCACGTTTGATCTGTTCAGTTTCTACAAATCAAAGTTTATCATATCATTGTCCCTGATTTATGTGTTTTTAAAAATAACACGCAGTAAAATAAGAGAGAGACCAGAGAGAGAGAGAGACCAGAGAGAGAGAGAGACCAGAGAGAGACCAGAGAGAGAGAGAGACCAGAGAGAGAGAGAGACCAGAGAGAGAGAGAGACCAGAGAGAGAGAGAGACCAGAGAGAGAGAGACCAGAGAGAGGGAGAGAGACCAGAGAGAGAGAGAGAGACCAGAGAGAGAGAGAGAGAGAGACCAGAGAGAGAGAGAGAGACCAGAGAGAGAGAGAGACCAGAGAGACCAGGGAGAGAGAGAGAGAGACCAGAGAGAGAGAGAGAGACCAGAGAGAGAGAGAGAGACCAGAGAGGGAGAGACCAGAGAGGGAGAGACCAGAGAGGGAGAGACCAGAGAGGGAGAGACCAGAGAGAGGGAGAGACCAGAGAGAGGGAGAGACCAGAGAGAGGGAGAGACCAGAGAGAGGGAGAGACCAGAGAGAGGGAGAGACCAGAGAGAGGGAGAGACCAGAGAGAGGGAGACCAGAGAGAGAGATAGATATTATATTAGTGGTTATATGATGACGTTGGAAAATACACACGGCATATTTTCGGACACACAACTATAGCGAGGAACCACTGTACATCGCACCATGTTAGATTTTGTGTCAGAAGTTCCTGATATCAGTGCGGATGGAGCTAAACACAGCTGCAGGTCTGTGACTGATGGAGAGACTGAACGTGTGTGCGTCTGGACTGGCTGGGGTTCCTCAAGGATGCTTGTTGGGGCCGCTGTTGTTTTCATTAGTTATATTTAACAGGGAGTAAAAGGGGAAAAAAAGTGAATTTGTCCTTTTTTATTGACAATATTTTGAGCTAATGAAATTCTTTTTTAACCCGCACTTGATTGATGTTTGACAGTTCCCTTCCTAGAGCTGTAGAAATGAAAGGTTTTTGTGTTTTCCGCATTTCAGTCTGTAGCGAGGACCACTGAGCTGCCTTTTGCACATAATGATCAACTTTTTGCCTTAAAACATGGAAAGAACCACTTAAGAAACTCACTTTTCTACCACTGTTTTGAAAGACCAAGAGACGTTAAAGGAGCATTAATAGAGTCCACGGATCCAAAGCATTTCTCTGCCGGAGGAGTGGGCTCTGAACGCGGCACATACCTTTGTTTCTGTCTTTGACACTGTCTGTTTGTGATGCTGTGGTTTCATGTGTTCTGGTCTCAGGAGAAAGTTTTTTTAAAATGATTGTAAACATTAAAATTGTGTTTTCAAAAAAAGGATTGTGGAGTTTTTGTATATTGTAATTGTATAACTGTCGTGTGTGTCTGTGTAGAGTATATATATATATTAGTGCGTGTATGTGTGCAGGTATTATATATGTCTGTGTGTGTGTGGGGGCAGTGAACATATAGTTTATTTTTGTGTCAACTGTGAGCTGCTTGTTCTGGAGGTTCTTTATAAATCCACACTTGTAAACCCAATCCCTTAGAATAATCCATGACTCTTCTGGCCCCTGGGAAAACCATGTTCTAGCTTCTTCCCTCTGGTTCGCTGAGGAGCAGGACATCTGAATATGCTAACAGCTTCTTACCACAAGCTTATCAGTTTAAACAGAACACTTTAATGACCTTGAACCAGGGCTGGACTGGGACAAAAAAACGGCCCGGGCATTTTTTCCTTTTTAGCGGCCCAGGCAACTCAAAAGGTTCAAGGAGCCCTATTTGACAAAAAAAAAAAAAAAAAAACAGCGTTGTATAAGGCTTATATGAAGGTAACAGGGGCTGAAGCTGTATTAGCTACATTAGCTATATTAGCTACATTAGCCTAATATCTAAATGACAAAGTAAAGGCTAAACACATAAAAACCCTTCATGATTATCAGATGTGTATTTTCATTGCAGCGTGTCCTGGAGAGAATGATGCACCACGTGACGACTCTGCTTTAAGTTTAACCTTCTTGCAACTGCACAAATACAGTAAATAAATCTGTTTTTTGGCTCCGAGTTCACCTGCATCACTGTCTGTTCATATCCATCACAGGCTGAAGTTTTCTGGAGCTGAATGTCCTTAATGGCCTTTTCTTTCACCGTCTTTGAGAAGGTTTTTGAAGTCTGAAAATAGGTGCTCTGACTTTATGATGAATGAATCTTTCAGTGAACGGTGTTTAAAGCTTCATTGTTCCTCCTGTTGCAACAAAACTTTTCATTACATCGCAAACATGAAGCAGTCCTTCCTCATTGACTGAAAGCAAATGTTCATTCTCATTCTTAGTCCAGTCTTATCGACTCTCTTTATCTTTGGGATCCATGCGCACATACAGTTAAAATTGAATATTACCCATACAAGTTTTTGCAGCATTGAAAAACGTTAAGAACGTTTTTCCTCCTACAGAAACCACATTCAAACAAGAAATAAAATATAGCCCTCACACTCCACTATCAGACATTTTTGAAAAGGCTCCAGGAGCCACTTTAGGGGCACTAAAGGTTGCCGACCCCTGGTTTATACAGTATGTGGAAGCAAATACTGTAGAGGATCAGGATCGCTCCAGTTTTAACAATAAAATAAAGTACAATAGTCTACATTAAACAGAGTAATAAACATGTCTCAGAGTGAGGGAGGTGGACACAGACAATATTGTTTGTTACAGGGATGAGAATTGGTAAACATTTCTGAAATGCATATTGTCAGCCATTTGCTGGCTCTAAATATGTTTAATCTGTTTACAACATTTTACTTTTGGGCTCAAACATGAACTTTTAATGCAATGGAAAATTTAGGTACCCGAGCTTTAATTTTGAGGAGAGGGGAGACGCGGACTGTTTTTTGCAGCGGTGTATTTATTGGGTGCACAAATTACGCAAATACACGCATGGTCCTGTGCGCGTTTATGGTCTTGGGTATATGGTCACGTTGCGGCTACGCGCTCACCGTGTTGTGTTGTGAGCGGCTCCCGGTGAGCGGTTCCTGCGTCCAGCTCAGAGCCGCTGGATGCGGGAACACTGCGGCCGCTGAGGCGATGGAATCCCGTTCGAGTACATACAGCAGGTGCCCCGCGGACACGCGCGCTCCCCTCAAACATTTCTCAACGGATTTACACTTTTCACAAACATGTGTTTTGTATGAGGCAAACAGACCGGCCCAAATATGGGCATCGGCCCTTCGGGCATTGCCCGGTACGCCCGATGGCCAGTCCAGCCCTGCCTTGAACTTGTATTGAAACATTTGTAATATGTTATTGTTACCGAGCCCATTAAATACAGTGTAAAAGTCCTCACTTCCATATTTGTAAAAATCTCATGGAATAAATAGTTTTTTCTCTGTAAAGACCTGAAAGTGACAGAGTAACGGTAAATGTTGCTTCTCATCGTTCTGCTCTGGAAGAACATTCAGTGACTCAGTTTTTAAGATACATTGTTCAATATTACAATGTAGAACCGGTGTGTTTTATAATCTGGTGCGGATTATAGTCGGTATGTTCTCCCTGTGTCTGTGTAGGTTTCTTCCAGATGCTCCGGTTTCCTTTATCCCTAAAAACGTGTACAATAGGTCTGAACGTAGTGAGTGAAAGAAGGTGATCGTCAGGGCTTCGATCAGCAGCGCCGAGATCCCTGAGTGGTAAATGGCTAACCAATGTTTTGGCCACCACAAGGGGGCGCCTCGAAGTGGCCAAATCTGTCATATACCCCTGACTGCAGTCCGCAGATCGGGGCGGAGCTCAACGTGGGCGGAGTCAAACGTTTGACTCCCCCCACCGCGGAAGCTTCTTTTTTTTTTCTTTTTTTTAACGGAAGCGTTTTTTTTTTTCATTTTACCCTGATTTTAATCTTGATCAAGGGTAAAATCATCAAGTTGATGATTTTAAAAAATAATTAATATTTATCGGTCCCGATATGCTTTTCATTCTTCTACTCTTTTGTATATTATGTATATTTATAAACTATTTTTGGTACCATTATTTATTATTGCACCTGATTCTGACCGATTCTGATGTTACACCTAAGCTTGTAATAATATAAAAAGCTTTTGTATGGGACACCATTCATTGTTATTTATATCAAGATCACATCTGGTGTCAAAATGTAAATCTTTGGTAAAACCTGTTTCTTTTTGTCTCAAATGTAAATACCAGCTTACATAATAGTAAGGTTACATAATATTCTATATGCATTCTTGTCTCATAAAATAAATGATACTAAAATAATAGTAATATGATTACATTTCCATGAGCCCTCACAACTTTACACACAACTTTTTAATGAGGTTCAGCTCCCACTGAACTAGAACAGTGAAGTGAAATCAACATTTAATATCAGGCTTCTACTTTCAACTTGTCAAAAGCCTTATTTTTTTACTGTCCATTATTTTTTATCCATGCTGCCTTCATTTAAAAAAATAAAAATTCTTATATAAATGTATCCACTCAATTATATCAGCTACATTAAGGAGAACAGAGACTGAATTGTGCCACTGACACTTCTTAAAACATGCCGAGGTTTGAGGTGGGGTAGCGAGACAGTGGACCCAAGGATGCAGACTTGATGTTTCAAAAAGGTAAATTTTATAACACAAACAAAAGCCATAACCGGAACACAGGTATAAAAAAAGTACAAACAAAATCACCAAAAACCACACTAGGAGAACCAAAACAAAGTGAAAATGCAAAGAAATGCAGCATGTGTGAGCAGAAAATTATCTCATTTCAAAGCCGGAAAACACCTGCAGCTGCCTTTTGTCCATCATTTCCTTGCAGAACTCCTCATAGTCTGCCTGCAAACTAAACATGAACATGAACGGTTCACTGAGGTCTTCTTTATACTCTTCATCCAGGCCATCACACATGCGCAGCATTTCCACTGCCCTCAAGGAATCTTCCTTGTTCATGGTGATGACCTGGGGAAGGTAAAGTTTTCCCTTGAAGGATCTTGTGCCACACCACCTTGCTGCCGTTAAGGTGTCCATAAGCAGGGAATCCTCCTAATGAAAAATTAAGAAAATGAATATTAAAATAGAGGTTGAAGAAGGCAGCAAACAGTGAAATAAGAAAACATACTCCGTTCCCAGTTCCCACTTCCGGCAAGCTCTCAGCCTTTGCTAGAAAGGAAACAGATTATGGTTCTTAAAGGTATAATAACAATGCAAGTTCTAAAAAAGATCAGTAGCTTATTTTAAGTATACTGGTTTAATGAAAATTGAGAAATTACAGCAAAACCAGCTACGTCACATCCCATCTCTACAACCTTGGGGGTTGTGTACAATAATACTGTTTTGAACAATACCTGATGCTTCAGAGACAGATTCTGAAAGCCGAATACTTTTTGGAGGGACCACTTCCAGATCCTGAAATAAATGGGGGGGATTATGCTTTAGTCTGCAAGCAATAGTTTGACTACAGGACAAATTAATCAACTCTCACCTGTTTTCCTTTTTGCTTTCTCCGTCTTTTTCTTTCCTGCAATCTGGTTTCCTTAGACCTTGATGATGTAATGACAACATTAATTTACTATGAAAACATTCATGTTGGTCTGTTGACCGTGAGTATTTAAAAGGATCTGATTCAAAAGTGTGATCATGAGGGCACTTACGGCATGGGGAAGTTCTGTAGGAGGACAAGACACCACCATCTCCTAATTTGCAGCATGTTTTCCTTTGAAAAAAGAAAGGAAGATTCAAATATGTGTTCAGGAATGATAAGTTGTATACTAAGCGTAATGTGTCACAATTTTCACATACCTCTCTGAAGTCACAATTGGCCCCCATTACAATGTACAGCGTGTACTGTAAGTCAAGAGGTTCTTGCAATTTGTCTGTCAGCTGGTGGATAACGGTCCTCTTCAGACTCATTTGCATTTTGATATGCGGTGCTCTGGGTTGGATTGTGTTTCTCTGCCTCTGTGCTCTTCACCTTCCGAAATAGTTCCCTCTTTGTGACAAACAGATGCCACTTAGCAACAGCTTTGTGGATGCAAGACTGTCTTGCTTTAGCGCAAGGACAATGCCAGTTGTTTTGCTTTGTGTCATATGACACAATCACTCTTCCCAACTTACTATAATAAGTAATTTTTTTTTCATAAACCGAAATATGAATTTGGATGGTGGACCACCCACAGTCAGCTGCACTGACAGAGGCACGCCCTCTGCATCAGCATTTTGTTGCAAACGCAAGAGGATGGCTTTACGTTCCTCGCCAAACCATTTGTTTTGCACCATTGTTCCCAAGGCCTCAGGAGTTAGTCTCATGGTTTGACTGTCGGTGCGTGGGCAGTACAATAAAGACTGGATGTGGTGGCACTCGAAAGGCAACATCCCGCTCCTTCGAGCAAAGTCAGCGTTTAGACGACACTGGTCAACCTCACACAAGATTTTCTGAGTTGGCCCCCAAGTATTTTTGATAACATGTATGGGTGTTGCTGGACCACAAAATGATTTCTCAACAGCAAATACACCATTTTTACCATCAACACACTGACAGGCCAGATATCTGTCCTTCGACACTGTCTCAAATTGGGGGGAATGTTTTCTCTTGCAGTGTGTTTTGAAGTTTTTTTGGTTTATTTTTATCTTGCAATGAGGACATGTGACTCTCTTTTGTGCTGCATGCTGTGTGGGGGCCTCTGCATGCTGAACCGGGGCCTCTGGATGAGGCGCGGGGGCCTCTGGATGAGGCGCGGGGGCCTCTGGATGAGGCGCGGGGGCCTCTGGATGGGTCTCCTCCTCTTGATGAATTTCTAAATGCCTAACAAACTGCATTCTATTAACAACTGTTGCTGTGCAGTAGCAGCAATGAAAATGGGTTGCCTTCCTACACGTCAACCCACACTTGATCATTGTAAATTCTGTAAGAGAGGAATGAAGGGAACAAGATTCATACATGTGAAAAAACACTAATGTAATTAATTAATTTATGTAATATGTAAGCTAGGCAGGTACCTTTGTGTTTAACTGAAGAATGGCCTTCAATATGGGTTTCAACCATTGTTTTTACACCCTTGTACTTGCAAAATGGACAGTGGAAACTTTCACAACCCTCATCAGTGCATTTTGAAAGTGATATTTCACCATTGATCAGTATGCTGATGTGTCTCTATATTAGAGGGGAAAACAATAGACATAAAAGGCACAGCAATTAGAAACACACGAGACAAAATATATGAAATAATTGTTCATTTAAAAAACAAATGTCATGTCATGGATGTTAACATGCAAGGAAGAGCAATATCAATTTCCTGCAGATTACTCAGATGTAAGTGTCAGATTGTCAAATGCTTATGAATGGTACCATTTCAAATATCCTTAAATAACATATTAGCATATTGGCTTTATATTCTTACATTATTCTATATTCAACATGTAACAACGATTAAAAAAGTAACCCCCCGCGAAAAGTATAATATTTCCCCCCCAAAAGTAATAACGATCACATAAAATTTTCTCCCCAAAGGTATAATATTTTCCCAGTACGTCGTGTCGGATAAATATGAATCTAAAACCCAGAAAAGTCGTTTTTAAGTCCAGGTTTATATAATTTTCGCTGCAACAGTAATGCTAGGTATACTAGATTAGAAGTCCAACCGTGCAGAATGCAGATACATACAAGTATAACTTATTTTAAAATAAAAATAATGTTACTTCCTTCCTTGTCGGTAACAAATATAGCAAAGTTGCACGTTAAAACAGAATGAAAAAACTGGCCTACAGTACCTCCATTCTGCCAGCTACTTCGCTCTTCTTCTCCTCTGCTTCTTCTCCTTCTCTGTCATACGCACAGTCCTCAATGCCTAGCTCCCGCTCGGCGGAGCTCAACGTGGGCGGAGTCAAACGTTTGACTCCGCCCACGTTGAGCTCCGCCCCGATCTGCGGACTGCAGTCAGGGGCTACTCAAATCTGTGGCTAACGCACCTTTTGCCACAGTTTTGACGCACTTTTTGCCATTTTGGAGACGCACTTTTGGCCACAGTTTTGCCGCACTTTTGAGAGCGGACAAAGAAGTGGCCAAAATATGGTTTGAGTTGATAATTATAATAAAAATATTCAAAATGTATATACTTTTTTATTTTTTTTATGTATTTTTTTCATTCATTCCAACACAGATACAATACAAAACCCAAAACAAACAGGTAGATGACGGTACAAGACATACAAGAATACATATAATACAGACAGGGACAGTGAACAATGTTTTGTGTAGATGTGTTTGTATGTGCATGTGCGTGATGTGCGAGTGAGTGTGTGTGTGTTTACAAAATATTTCTTTTTTTAAATAATGCGATTAAAGGCGCGTTCAGACCAAAAGCTTCAAAAAGCTTTTGACGCGCGTCAAGTGACGCCGGGGCTCTCGGCTTCACCTGACGCGCTTCACCATTCACTTTCAATGCAAACCTGACGCTTTTGACGCCGAAGTTAAGTCCGGTGTGAACGCCCCTTAATAGTAATAATAATAATAATAACACTAATAGCTTTACACAAGGTATATACTTGTAGATTATTAAGAGCAAATAGTCATTATCCATTCATAAATTGTCACACAGAAAGAGCAACTATTGCTTCTTGTGTAGTAAAAGTCAATATCGATGGCTGGTAAATGTTAAATTACTGTTTTGGCCACCACAAGGGGGCGCCTCGAAGTGGCCAAAACTGTGGCTAACGCATCTTTTGCCACTTTTGAGACGCTCCTTTGGCCACTTTTGAGACGCATCTTTTGCCACTTTTGAGACGCTCCTTTGGCCACTTTTGAGACGCATCTTTTGCCACTTTTGAGACGCTCCTTTGGCCACTTTTGAGACGCATCTTTTGCCACTTTTGAGACGCATCTTTTGCCACATATGACACGCTCTTTTGGCCACTTTTGGGACGCATCTTTTGCCACTTTTGAGACGCTCCTTTGGCCACTTTTGGGACGCATCTTTTGCCACTTTCGAGACGCTCCTTTGGCCACTTTTGGGACGCATCTTTTGCCACTTTTGAGATGCATCTTTTGCCACTTTTGAGACGCATCTTTCGCCACTTTTGAGACGCATCTTTCGCCATTTTGGAGACGCATCTTTTGCCACTTTTGAGACGAATCTTTCGCCACTTTTGAGACGCATCTTTTGCCATTTTGGAGACGCTCCTTTGGCCACTTTTGAGACGCATCTTTTGCCACTTTTGAGACGCATCTTTCGCCATTTTGGAGACGCATCTTTTGCCATTTTGGAGACGCTCCTTTGGCCACTTTTGAGACGCATCTTTTGCCACTTTTGAGACGCATCTTTCGCCATTTTGGAGACGCATCTTTTGCCACTTTTGAGACGCATCTTTCGCCATTTTGGAGACGCATCTTTTGCCATTTTGGAGACGCTCCTTTGGCCACTTTTGAGACGCATCTTTTGCCACTTTTGAGACGCATCTTTAGCCACATATGACACGCTCCTTTGGCCACTTTTGAGACGCACCTTTTGCCATTTTGGAGACGCTCCTTTGGCCACTTTCGAGACGCATCTTTTGCCATTTATTGCTGATTATCTTGATAATTAAGCTTACATTCGTGTTTTGGCAATCTTGAATACTTTCTCATGAATCATGGCATGATTTGTTCAAAGCACCCCCTGCAGAGTGCTCACCTCTTGGACATTCCAGGTGTGTTTGTCTACATCTCTTTTCCCATCCTGAGAAGGTGTGAAAGTCACCTTTTGACATGTGTGTGAGGCCTTTGGAGATAAGCCTCTGGATCTACAAAGGCTCACACTTTGTGCAGCTTCCCCCAATAGCTGTCTATTAATATGTCATTCTGTAGTCCGATCCCACTTCTCCCCATTCGTATTGTCATAGAATATTATGGATGAATTTACATATTTTTCTACCTCTGGAATGAAGATTAAATACAATTTAATGTTTTAGAGTACCACCTCTCCCGGATTGACAAGCTGATCCATAGAGCTGGACAGGTGATTTACAAGACATTTACAACAGTGTGAGACAGAAGGACACTGGAAAAACTGCATCATGGACAATCCAACACATCCACTCCACCGGAGTAGGGCACAGGAGCTCCTTCTCCAACAGACTCCTACAGCTCCGCTGCCCCAGTGAACAAGAGCGTGTTCATGTCACACTCCATCCTGCTATTTAAAAAGTCACTGCTCTGTGACAGATAACACATTCATCTAAACAGACTTCAAATTTATCTGCTTTGTCTGTGTATATCTTGTATATGAACAGATGTGTAGTATTCTTTTTTTTCTGTATTTTATACTGTAAATGTAACCAAACCAGTTTCCCTTGTGGATCAATAAAGTCTGTCTAAGTCTGAAGGCTGTAAACTAAGTGTATTTTTAGAATGTAGGAATTGTATCGACTTTTATAGTAATAAAACCCAACCAGGGACAGGAGTTGTGAATTAGCATCTGCTATAAGCTCTATTCATCACATTAGCTGCAAGCTTTTATATATATAATATATATATATATATATATATATATATATATATATATATATATATATATATATATATATATAATATTAATATTGAAAGAGAGCATGGAGACTTCATTTTGAAAACTCAATACATTTAATAAATATCAGGCAAATCCAAAGCACACATTGTATATCTTTCAAAACACAAATCAGAGAATAACACTTTACACTAGAATAACACAAGAAATGCATTGATAACAAAGAACCATTGCTCCACAAAGAGCAGACCAAATGTCCATACATGTTGTAGAATGTTAAAGTGCCCTGGATCATCACCACAGTCCTTCTAGTTGGACACTAACTGTCCAACAGACCCTCCTGCATTGGCATGGAAAAACTCATATGAAAAACCCAGTGAGAAAAAAGTGAGAAACCTTGAGGGAGACAAGATATTGAGAAAGGGATCCGCTCCTCACGGACGGACGGGCTATAGATCCAGAACCTAAGCTACAGAACATGGACCAAGGCCACGTGGGGCGGGACTCGGGCTGCAGAACGAGGACTGAGGCAGCTCCCAGGCAGGGAGGGGGTGCAGCCCACGAGTCGGGCCGGGGAGGACAATCCGCAGGTGCAAATGATCTCGTCGTCACACCATGAAACAGACAAAGGGACATAACATTTCAGTACATTACAATAATTAACATACGTGTCCTATTCCGCAGGCGTCTCAGATTTGTGGCGTATAGTGAGCTGGTGCTGGGGACCGCTGGGAGCCAGAATCAGGGGATCATGTCTGCATGTGATGTGCTCAGGACACACCAGGAGTTCCCAGATCCTGAAGGCCAGTGTGTTGGCTTTCTATCCTGGTCAGCCTCTGTAATAATATATTATGAAATTATTGTAGTGTAAAATATTTGTACAGTGTTATTTTTTTACCAAGTGTTGGCTTTGCTGTTGGCTTTCCTTTGATGTACTTTGCGTTGGAAACTTTAAAGACTGCCCTTTTGAAGAATCTTGCCCACGTTTGACATTTTCATTTTAGTGCATTCCTGCCAAAAACAACCTGCAAAAAACAGTTTCAATCTAAACAGGATTTGTACACTTAATTATTACAAAGAATAACGCTATGAAACGCCTCCAGCTCTGATGTCTGGTGCTCGGAGACGAGTTTCTGCACATCTTTAGGCAATCTCTTGTTCATGTAGCTCGTCTTCGTACAATGGGGCATACCCTGAGAAAACAATGAATTGGTTTCTTCCTGTTTTAAAGAACCATAATTTAACTTTGACAGAGTTCTGTGTTCCTGTTTACCATGTGCTTGACTCCTCTGGACGAGCATATTTGGGAAATTCAGGGTTGTGATGAGAGTAAACATTTTGAATGTTGGATGTCCATTTTTCCACTTTCTCAGGTCCTGTCTTAGATGTTGATGCAACCCAGTATGTATTTTTTTTTTATGCCTGCAGCCCTTTTTTTCACCACCTGGCACCATTTCTCTTTCAACAACTTGTCCCAATTTTTGAATACACCTATAATATACAAATCTACATTTATAATAGATAACACCTATACAGGTATTCTATTCACCCAAAATCATCAATCAGATGCCAGACATCGTAGTATTGGGTTACAGTAGAAACGTTTTGACTTGTGTGTGACAGTCAGTGGCACAATAGTCCACTTCAAGACTCTTCTTTTTCCATGTAAAAACTCCTTCCTACCTCATTGCTCTAAGGAAACATTTTTTTATTTATTTGTAATGAAAATACAATAAATGGTGAAATAATTATTATTAGACATACCTGTACTGTTTGTATGTCAAGCACCTTCTCACTCTCATGTTCCATTAGGCTGTAGCTGTCATAGTTGGCACAGTGTCCTAAAAACTTTGAAAAAATGTTACATACAAAGTAAATTATTATACTGACATAACTTTCCCTATGGTAAATCTGCTCTTTTGCCCTTCTTCAAATCCTCCAAAAGCCTCTTGATCTTTCCTCCATTTTTCCCACAGTGGGAAAATGTCCATGTTGCAGTTTTACTTATTTACAGATGAGATGACATGTACAGACTCAGCTGTTATCTTTGTACAGTCTGACAGCAGCAGGAAGGAAAGACCTGTAGAACCTCTCCTTCACACATCGAGGATGGATAAGTCTGTCACTGAAGCTGCTCTCCGGAGCAGAGAGAGTGTCCTGCAGGGGGTGACAGTCATGGTCCAGCATAGATGTTAGTTTGCTCAGGACCCTCCTGTCCCCCACCTGCTGCACTGTGTCCAGGGAACAGCCCAGGACTGAGCTGGACTTCCTGATGACCTTGTCCAGCTTCTTCCTGTCCCTCTCTGTGATGCTGCTGCTCCAGCAGACCACACCGTACAAGTGGCAGAAATCCACCTCCATCTCTTTGGTCTTCCCTGCATTGATGGTCTGTTGATGGTCTGGTCTGTTGATGAGGAGGTGGTTCCTCTCGTTGGTCTGTTGATGAGGAGATGGTTCATCTCTTTGGTGTTGTTTTCTACTTGGTTTTGTATGTTCACACACACAAAACCAGGTAGTGAGGTGCCACAACGATGTGGGCTTAAAGGTTCATTGTTATTGAATTGCATTGATGATCCTTATGGTTATTGTGACTGGTGTGTGTGGAGGAGTGTGGGAGTGGACAACCTGCAACCAGCCTCCACCTGACCGCAGGAGGTGCCTGAGGATATATTAAAGTGATCCAGAAGTTAGATTTTAGTACACTTTTTTTTTGGTAAACTAGAAATGAATATTAATTACCTGTCAGAAACCCTTCGGCCACAAGTTCTTTGTCTAGGTTTGTCCAAGCCTTAGCAATGTCAACACTTAAGTCATTCTCTTGTTATATTGCTGAGGTCAGGCCTTCTGAATGTTCCAACTACGGATAATGATACACTATTAGCAAAATTCATTTCATTTGTCTTACACAGTACTTACTGTACATACCAGGTATTTCGAATGCCAATTTCCAGTTAGCATCAGCAATCATAATTGGGGGATAATATCCACACTGGTTGCATGTAAATCCGAAGTGGAAGTCAACAAGGGCCATAAAGTGGTGAAAGGCCTTTCTGACTGTTTGATGGTGGAAGTGGCTGTCATTGAAATGTGTTATTGTCGAAAGCATGCGACCAGGAGCTGTTTTGTTCTGTAAAAAAGGTAATATGCATTCTGTTATACTGAAATGCACATATATGTTAATGTGTAGCAAGAGATGTATGGAATTTACTTACAGCTAGTGCTGACAGTAACAGGTGACACAGAGGTAGTGTTAGTAGGACGCGATCGTTGAAATTGTGGAAACCAGATGTGTACTCCTGGAAGCGTACTTGGAGGTGGCCTGCAGGACAGGTTTTCATGGCAACAGAAACACCAGATCCAAAATCAAGAAATAAAGCATGGTCACAACATTGTGTGCTGCAACTACAGTGTGCATTTACATTAAACTTAAGTAGAATGATTAATAAGTATTGAAATTGCAAACCTTTTTTTACATGAGTATATCCATTCACTGTAGCCTGGTTTGTTATGATTTGTGGATTTAATAACGTTGGTGGAGTGGGCCCTGGATAATAAGGGCATACAAGTTCCTCTGGGGTGAAACATGCTGGTGGTTCTCTCTCGTGGGATTTAAGATCAAGTGGTATTTCTTCCGATGGTGGTATCTTCTTATTTGTAAACAAATACTCATTTTCTCTGCTTTTTCATGGCTGTCTGTGTAAACTGTTGCTTCTGCCTCCAGCATATGTATTTTGGTGTCCAAATCATCGATTGTGTTCTCCTCCACACAAGAATGTCCCTGCAAAAGTTCAGGTGCTTCTTGAAAAAGCCACCACATGGCCATCATGCGGTGTATGCACCGATGGGTCTTGTTGCTTATGCAGGGGCAGAGCCATTGTCCAGATTCAATATCAAATGTGACATGTTGAAATTTGCTCCAATTATCAACAGTGTCTGTATACACAGACAAATACCTCCATCTTTTGGAGTAACCCATATCACCTAAATAAATGTGACATACCGGGTCAACTTGATTTTGCAGCAGCTTCAAATAGCTGCTCACATTTTCTGCACCAATCCCTTGATATGACACATTCGTTTATCATGTCAGTCAGTGTGTCCAGTAGGAGGGCTGCTGGTGGAGAATATGGGACAGCATCTTTGAGTTGTTCTAGGTGATGGCATTCTTTTGCTGGGTGACCTGATGCCGTCCCCATTTTCATAATGTGTTCACAAGTGTCAACCTCACATGCAAACAGTGGGATTCTTGTAGATTTAACCACATGGATGGGGATGAAGGGACCATGTTTAAATTTGGCTGTGACATATATTCCATTGTTGCTGTCAATGCACACCACTGGCTGTGTGTTGGAATCATGAATCTTGCGCGTTTTCGGTAATTGCTACCAACAGTGAATGTGGCTGTTTCCTTTATGTCTATGTAGTTAAAGAATAAACAAACATATAATTAGTGTAGGCCTACACCTGAAAAAATATGTTTCTGTCTACGTACCAGTTTTGTCAATTTAAGTTATATCTATTGACATAAATGGATTGATTATTACTTACATATATAAAAGGAGAGACATATGACATATGTCAACTGATATAATTTCTTACCATGTACCTTTGGCAGATGTACCTTAAAAACATCTTCTCGGACAACAGGCTTAAAGTTACAGAAAGGGCAATGATAATGGACTCTTGTGGTTGTCTTTTGGCCCAATTTGCAATGACATGCAACTGTGAAACATTCTACAACACAGCAAAACAAATTATATTGGCTAACAAAAACAACAAAAATTAAGACGTTCATATGAATTATTACAGTGACACAAATGTAATATTAAAAAAAAAAAACATAATATTTCAGCTATGACAAAGAACTCAGGTCTACCTTTCTGTTGATGAAAGAAGTAAACAGCTTTCTGAAGATGTTTCCTTCTTAAATGCCGTTCATTGCTTTGTTCTTTCTTTGTGCAAAATTCACAAACATTTTTAGTGCAAGCCAAGAATGCATTCACATCTGTGAAAATTTCACGAGGACCTGAAACAGCGTAAAAGTTAAACAGTAATTACTACAAAAATGTTGCATTCCAAATAAACGAACAGGCTACATCTTTAACACTACCTCTTATGTGGGGTTTGATTTCAGTTATTGGTTCAAATAATTAGGCCCCAGAGATTATGTAAATACTTTTGCGTTTTCATCACACTTTGATGCAACTGTGGTTAAAATTAAACTCATCATTCTAACAATGCACAAGGCAGTACTTTTCCACTATATGTTTTGTTTATCAATCCATTAGCATCGGCAAATGCTGAATCTCTGCTCGTGTCTGAACCTTGTCACTACACATGTCTGAAAGACACGATCCCAGTCTATTATTATTATTTTCTTCAATCCCTTCCCCCATCCAGGTGAAGGCTTCAGATAGCCCACCACTCACGGGCCTGATATGCTGTGGTTTGAGCTGGAATATTACGTTTTAGCAAGAACATTGTAAAAGTGGTTGAATAGGCCTACTGTACTTATTTAAATCTGAAACACAAATGAAAAAGACATGCGGTTGACAACTGAAAACATAGGATTTCACCGTGTAGCGTACTGCACAAAAAAGCGCTGTCCACCAATTTCACCTGGCATACATATACTGTCTTTACAAAACTTAATTAGCCTATGAAAGGCATTCTCACCTGCCATGTTTTCAACCCAGGATCAATAATCGACAAGTGCGCAAGCAACTTCTTCATACAGGTAGATGACTGCTGGACACAGGTCTCGTTCCAAATAACGGCGTTACGAGTCAGGAGCTTACGCAACACCGCGGACTAATTTCCGAGCGGAAGTTAATGCGTCTTCGCGGAGTTATACATTGCCTATAGATCTGTTGCAGGGTACCTATACAACAATATTTGTGTAAAGAAATAATTATAAGCAGAACAGAGGGACATAGGCTATTCATGGCCATTCATGGCAGATAACACACACCTTAAGCACATGTAAATAGGCGAAACGTTGACGTGAGTTCCCTGTGTGTGCAAATGTGCCAAAGCGCGGCTCACACAGCGTGGATGTGTGTGCGCGCTGTCACCATGTGACCTTTTCTTGATTGGCCTTTGTATTTCACTATTTGGTGGACCAATTGTGTCTTTGCATAATAAAAAAGGATGTAGGCTATCTTTGCTCGCTTTGATTATAGAACAGTGAGACGTGCAATATCATAACAGTAGTCATCATATATATATATATAGTGTAAGTGAGGAAAAAACAAGCATCAATTGGTTAAAAGTTTTAAACTTCAGGTTATTATTACGCTGAAGTGTAAAACGTTTAACCATTCATTATCTAATTTACTAATCAGTATATTTCTGAATAATCTATGTAAATCCTGGTAAAACACACGAAAAGACGCGAACGGCATTTTGGCCATTCTTTTAACCAGTCGAAAATGGCAAAAGGTGCGTTAGCCACAGATTTGGCCACTTCGAAGCGCCCCCTTGTGGTGGCCAAATCATTGGTTAGCCATTTACCACTCAGGGATCTCGGCGTCTCTGGCTTCGATGCTGGAGTGTTCGGCTTCTCGCTTCTGTCGCCATCGTGTGGAGAGAATGAAAAGTACCTCAACTTATACAGTGCTGTGTGTGACATTGGTCTGTGAAATGTGCTATATAAATAACGATGACTTGGTGTTAAAATGACAGGGAGTCCAATAGGTTTTGCACACGATAAAAAAAAAGTCGTACAAAAAACGTTGTGAAACTCATTTAAAATCGATTTAAAAATGAGTAATATCTGATAGATTTGGAAATCTATTGAATAAAAGCTAAGGTACGTAACCTTTTGATGCATAAAGAGTAACAAAAATAAATAAAAAGTCTAAAATACTACTAATACTACTACTCTTTTGAGTAGTAGTATTAGTAGAAGTAGCAGTAGTAGTAGAAGTAGTAACAACAGTAGCAGAAGTTACTAATGTAACTACTCCTACCAGTGCAAATTCGAATTACATTTCTTTCTCTTCTATTAACACGTATATTCTCATCGTTTCTTCACACACGTGTACAACCCCTCTGCGTCTCTATTTTACGCCACACTTGTATTCACATTTCATATTTTCCTCTTCTTGTAGAAAGCGGAACCTTATATCTCTGTCTCCAATGGTTCCCCTGCGGACCGTAAACACCGCCGCACCGAACTCCACTTCCGCCACGCGACCGCCCTGTCCAAAACAAACGGGACACAAAAAGTAGCATCATTCTGAAGTTAGATGAGTTTATTATGAGCCCAAAACTCTCCCACAGTGACGTCAGAGAGACCCGGATGTAACAGGATGGAGACACGTGACTGAGAACCGTAAGACACACATCAAACCTCCATTCATTAGGGAGAATTCAGTGGTAATTAAAACTGGGGTGTGTAACTTTTAGACCACACCAATAGAACTGTAATAAAATGTCTCTACTTCCTGGCTCTAAAACTGCTTCTATCGCTAATTTTCACATTTGCATGGCTTATTGATAGTACTACTACTACTACTACTACTACTACTACTACTACTTCACCTGTTGCTCCGACTACTATTACTAGTACTGCTGCAAATACCTCTGTGACTACTACTACTGCAGCTTGAAAACATTCAGCTGATTGTGTCTGGCTCTCAGACTAATATTATTAGTATGTATTATTAGTAACTATGTATTGGATTTCTTGACTATGAAAATGTCAATACAATAAACAAGACTAATATTACACTCCAAATGTTTTTTTTTTTGAGAATATTTTGGCTCTCTAAAAAGGTTCCCAACATCTGTGCTAATTCAAGAATTTTGGTATTGCGGGTAAGCTTTTAAAATGTAACCCTGCGTTTAAGGAGGGACCAATACAAACATAATCAGGACATAAACCTTTGCGCACATTCATAGTTTATTTGTCAAATGTTACTTGCTCTTATATTTCTCAATACAATGAGTTAACAAGAGTTTGGCAAGAAAGTGGCACTAACTGTGAAAAAAAATAAAAAAAATAATCCACTCTCAGCCTAAAAAGTCAAACAATGACTCACAGGGCTCATAAGTGTGCAAAATACTAAAAAACAAGATGTCTGTGGTAGTGTGGTCTGTTTGATTTGTTCACAACTTTGTACTTCAGTGCACAACCAACATACATTGTTATTGCAAGAGGAAATGTAGGTACCCGCGCTTTAATTCCTGATTCATTTAGTTTGGTCCAGAGAATTGACCAATGAAAAGTGGTCAAAAGCAGATGAACAGACGTGTCCGCTCCCGGCTCTAGAGGGAACATGCAGGAATGCGTTCCCAGCTTTAACTGCAGTGTTGTGTGTCCTCAGGTCCTCATGGACGCTCTGAGCCGCTCTCTCTCCTCTCTGAGCGTGTCGAGCCGCTGCGCTCCGTCCTGCAGTGTGTACCTGCTGCACCTGTCTCTGTCGCCCCCCGGTGGTGACTCGCTGATGGTGGCGTGCTCTGACTTCAGCCTGCGCCTCCATCACAGACCCACGCTGAGGCTGACACAGACGCTCGGAGGCCACAGCGCGCCCGTGAGCGGCCTCTCCACAGCGCGCACACAGCCCCACGCCTTCTACTCTGCGTCTCTGGACGGCAGCGTGCGGCTGTGGGACGTGCGCGCCGTGGGGCAGACGCGGCAGGCGCAGCAGGAGTTCCGCGGCGCTCCCGAACATGCCTTCTCGGCGCTCGGCGTCAGCTGCGACGGCGCGCTGCTCTGCGGCGGCACGGAGCAGGTGGACGGCGAGGACAGCTTCCTGGTGTTCTGGGACGCAAGGAAACCAGGCGCTATGTTAGGGGTGTACTCTGAGTCGCACTCTGATGACATCACACAGGTGCTCTTCCATCCCACAGACAAGGACAGGTGAGCACAGAGACCATCAAGAGACCAGACTATCAACTCTCATCTGGTTTTCATTGTTACCGATACTTAGTTTCCTTGTGTTATTATTATTATTATTGTTGTGCATTGAATCACTTCTGTCAACTGGTGTGAATGTGCTTTTTAAATAAACTAGACATTGATGCTCGAGAACACTTGTGCGAGTAGGTTAGCATCGATACACACTCTGTAAGTCTGACCATCTCTGCCTCTCTCTTTCCCTCTATGTCCCTCTCTCTCTCTCTCTCCCTCCCTCTCTCTCTCTCTCTCCCTCCCTCCCTCTCTCCCCTCTCCCTCTTCTCTCCCTCTGTCTAGAATGGCGTCTGGTTCCACTGATGGGCTGGTGAATGTCTTTGATTTGTCTCGTGGAGCCGAGGAGGAGGCTCTGATCGCCACCTGCAACAGTGAGTCGTCCGTGAGCTCCCTCTGCTGGCTGGGACCGGGACCAGCAGGAGGCCCAGCAGCAGGAGGCCCAGCAGCAGGAGGCCCAGCAGCAGGAGGAGCAGCAGCAGCAGGAGGCCCAGCAGCAGGAGGCCCAGCAGCAGGAGGAGCAGCAGCAGCAGGAGGCCCGTCCCACTCGCGCCTCCTCTGTGTGGCTCACGACGAGGGCCTGAAGCTCTGGGACCTCCTCAGTTTGGAGACAGAGGAGCAGCTCACGGTCTACAGCAGCAGAGACGCTCGCTGCAGCTCCGTGAGTGACTGTTACAGAGGTCTGAGGTCCGGGGTCTGAGGCCTGGGGTCTGAGGCCTGGGGTTTGAGGCCTGGGGTCTGAAGCCTGGGGTCTGAGGCCTGGGGTCTGAGGCCTGGGGTTTGAGGCCTGGGGTCTGAAGCCTGGGGTCTGAGGCCTGGGGTCTGAGGCCTGGGGTCTGAGGCCTGGGGTCTGAGGCCTGGGGTCTGAGGCCTGGGGTCTGAGGCCTGGGGTCTGGGGTCATCAAAGGGCTCCAGGGTCACTCTATGGGGAATTGTTTATAGTTGTCATACTTTTGATCCTGAAGCTGTAGATCCAGGACTGAGGCTGTAGACCCAGGACTGAGGCCGTAGACCCAGGACTGAGGCCGTAGACCCAGGACTGAAGCCGTAGACCCAGGACTGAGGCTGTAGACCCAGGACTGAGGCTATAGACCCAGGACTGAGGCTGTAGACCCAGGACTGAGGCCGTAGACCCAGGACTGAGGCCGTAGACCCAGGACTGAGGCTGTAGACCCAGGACTGAGGCTGTAGACCCAGGACTGAGGCTGTAGATCCAGGACTGAAATATATTGATACTATTGTTTTGATAATATTTAAACTCCTTGTCTTCCGCAGGCTGACTCAGCAGTGGACTCCTCTGTGGACTTCCTGGTGGGGGGCCTGTGGCTGGAGCAGGAGCAGCAGGTCCTGGTTCTCGGGGGCCGTGCTGGAGGAGAGGTGCTGCTGTTCAGCTGTGACGCTCAGGGACTGCGGCTGCTGCGGCGGCTGAAGAGCGGACACTCGGCTCCTGTGAGATGTTTCGGCTTCGATCCACAATCACACGGTCTGTTCACGGGAGGGGAGGACGGGGAGCTGCTGCACTGGAGCCCAGAGGGGGGAGGAGGAGGAGGAGGAGGAGGAGGAGGAGGAGGAGGAGGAGGAGGAGGAGGAGGAGGAGGAGGAGATACAGGTGAGTGTGGAGAGAAAGGAGGACACATTTTATTTATATTTCACCCATAAACTGTATACGGATGCTAATGCTAACACAGACTGTATACAGATCAGTGGGGGTGGGTCATGGATCTATAATAATAACTGGATAGGGTATTACAGCTTGGAGCTGAATAACTCATGTGCTCGGGGGATTCTCGCGGTACTGCAGACTGAACCAGACTAAATTCACGTGGGCTACCCAGACATTTTCCCCATAGGACTCAATGCATATTAAAACAGCTCGACCTCAGCTGACAGAGGCGGCACGGTGGCTGAGTGAATAGCACTCTCGCCTCTCAGCAAGAAGGTCCTGGGTTCGAATCCCAGCCGGACCAGGGCCTTTCTGAGTGGAGTTTGCATGTTCTCCCCGTGTCTGCGTAGGTTTCCTCCGGGTACTCCGGTTTCCCCTACCACTAAAAATATGTCCAATAGTTCAGGCATGTGCCTCCTGTACTGGCCCCGCTCCCATCTCTGTGTGGAGTGAGAGACAAATGCCCAAAATTAACAATTGTAAACCGCTTTGAGACTCAGATCTGCAGTGAAAAGGCGGTATATAAATAAAAACTTACTTACTTACTTACTTACTTACAGAGAACCCACAGCTTTCATAAAGGTCAGATTTTGTGGGGATTTTAGTGTCCCTTGTCATCCTGAACTTTTTTTCTTCTTAAATCCTTCGGTTTTGTTTAAATCCACACTTTAGTGCCACACACTCTGCTCCTCTGGCTCTCGCTCTAACTCCCGCTCTGATGAACTGCTCTGATTGGTCGGAGCGCGGCCGAGCCCCTCTGTGCACGTGCGTGAGACCCACACACGCGTGTTTGGCGCAATGCATTATGGGAGATCATCCACTGCACAGAACCGGGAGGACCAGACGATGCCCAAATACAGGCGAGTTTCCCAAAGTTCTTTGCGAGTTCCAGGCGACTTCCGCTAATCTTTCAGCCCCCATGCCGTCACAAAGCGCCACTGAGCACAACCATTCATTTGAACAAGGCGCCATCTTGAATCGCCGGGGCTTGGGGCGGGTCCCGGCTCAAAAGTGGCCAAAATGATGTGCGCTGACAAGCTGCAATACCACCCCGGGCCGTTGGGGGGGGACCCAGAAGAAGAATTAGCTAATGCTAACATATAGCATCTTCTTACCTCTCGAAAACGTCTTTACAGGATGGTCCAAAAGTTGGCTCTTGGCCCAAAGCTCCGTTCCACATGTGTGTCAAAGCTGAGGGGGGTGGATTTTTGAAGCCTCTCGTTCAAATGAATGGAGCTGCGCTGGCTGACGCATGCGCAGATGCGTTTTTTCACAATTTTCTTGTGGGCGGGACCACTCGCGGCCATTTTGGATAGCTCCAGTAGAGCACATTTTTTGGCCCATTAGTTAGAACGGCGGAGATAGGCGTGACTCTGTCCATTAAAATATACAGTCTATGATACAGATGGACAATGCTAACACAGACTGTAGACAGATGCTAATGCTAACACAGACTGTAGACAGATGCTAATGCTAACATAGACTGTATACAGATGAATAATGCTAACACAGACTGTATACAGATGCTAATGCTAACACAGACTGTATACAGATGCTAATGCTAACATAGACTGTATACAGATGGATAATGCTAACACAGACTGTATACAGATGCTAATGCTAACACAGACTGTAGACAGATGGATAATGCTAACACAGACTGTAGACAGATGGACAATGCTAACACAGACTGTAGACAGATGCTAATGCTAACACAGACTGTAGACAGATGGACAATGCTAAGCAGTAACCAATAACAAAGAAACGGGAAGTTTCAGGTTAGCCTCTGCCGCTTGTTTACCTCAGCCGTCTGTGCTAACGGACCTGTAGATTTCTCAAGAAAGTGGGGGCCAGTGGTCCGCTGTGATTGGTCACAATCTGGACCCAAACACATTCTCTTCCTTGTTGCACAAAAACTCGATCTAAAATAAAATGACACTCCAGCACAAATCTGCGCTTCTTCTTCAAAAGGACGTATATCCCAATGCACTGCATGGATATGGATTGAATTTTCCTAATGAATACAAAACTAAAGTGAGGTAATGCAGCTTTAAATCCGTGGTTTCTGGCTCTCTGTGATCCTGGTGTTCATATTATGAGTTGCGGCAGACACAGCAGGTTAGCATTGTCCATCTACACACGGACTGTGGGAAGGTGCAGTTCTGCTGACGACCAGCAGGTGGAGATCAGTCCTCGTGTTTGAGTGAAAGACTGAGGCTGTGGTTTAAAGTCCCCCACTGTGAGAGACCCCCCAAGGTGCAAAGCATTATGGGATCTGAGCAAATGGCGTATATAAAAAATGGTTTTAAAATCTGGGAACAGGTGTGTTTTGTCGTCGTGTGGCCTCATCTGTCCTCTTCACGTTCTCCTTCTGGTCCCATTGATACCTTTCATTACGTTTCTTTTCAGTCCTGCATTTGGGGTTCTTTGGTCTCACCTCATGACTCTGTCACTACCTCGTGTTTCAAAGTGCATTCTTCTTGTATTTTAAGAAATGCTTACAGTTTAGATTCGCCCCCGCTAAAAATCAGCTGATTAAGGTCTAATCAGTGAACCCAGAGTCAGACGTTAGTTAGATGTAGACTAAGGAATAATAAGTGTTTCATAAATAACAATTAACAGCTAATTGTTCAGTGTCAATGATAATAATTCACTAGTAACTTTGTCACTAGTCACTTTACTATTGATATTATCACTGATGCTTATTCTGCTCATATTCTCCGCTGCTAAAGAACAATATACACATCTGTAAATACTCCTGAACCAAGTGACATTATAGCTCCAGAGTTTATTTTATTTTACCATCTTATTATTTATGTCCTTCTTTCTCTGCTGTAATGTGCAACGATGACACTTCTCATCTTAATCAACAATAGATTATTACTATTTAGCACTTATTTGGCTGTTAATTAGCGAGGCCTAAACTGAAGTGTGGCTAAAGATTGTGTATGCTAGCCTCACAGATCTTTCACTTCCTGTGAATCACCGCGGCCATAATCATTGTGTCTGATTGTGATTGTCGTTGTTTGTTTGCTCCAGTTGCAGACGTCGGCCGGGACTCGCACAGATCCTTGAAGAGTTCGTCTGTGATGAGGCTGAAGTCCAGACCACACAACAAACACAAGCTCAACAGACGCACAAAGCCCACGTGAAGACGCACAACCATCACGTGTGGTCGGCTTTTGATGAAGTTACAACAGACTGTATACAGATGCTAATGCTAACACAGACTGTATACAGATGCTAATGCTAACACAGACTGTATACAGATGCTAATGCTAACACAGACTGTATACAGATGCTAATGCTAACACAGACTGTATACAGATGCTAATGCTAACACAGACTGTATACAGATGCTAATGCTAACACAGACTGTATACAGATGGATAATGCTAACACAGACTGTATATGGATGCTAATGCTAACCCGCTAGCACCATGAATTGGGAAGTGGTCATTGTGAAGTTTTGCTCCAACTCTACTCCCTCTCCTCTCTCTTTTCTCTCTCCCCTCTCTTCTTCTCCTCCCTTTCCTCCTCCTCCTCCATCACACAACAGTCTAGTTGGAGAGTTGTGGTTGGAGCTTTTAAACTCTAAGGACAAAAATGATCTTTAACATCAAACACGGGGAGTGACTTTTAATAAACAAAATGTGACGTGTGATTCTTTTCAATGTCACTAAATTGGGTAGCAGAGTGGTTAGCCCTCTCAGACCCCTCAGGCCCTGGGTTCGAAGTCCAGTCGTAACAGGGCCATTCTGAGTGGAGTTTGCATGTTCTCCCTGTGGCAGACGCCCACATCACATGACACAGCGGGCCTCTGACTAAAGCATCAGGAGCATTTGTCTTTTGTCTCGTAATTTCAAGAAATGAATGTTTTTCAGTGAATTTGTGTAAACTCTGGTCCATGATCATGTCCTACACGTCTGATCCATGGATCTATAATAATAACTGGATAGGGTATTACAGCTTGGAGCTGAATAACTCATGTGCTCGGGGGATTCTCGCGGTACTGCAGACTGAACCAGACTAAATTCACGTGGGCTACCCAGACATTTTCCCCATAGAACTCAATGCATATTAAAACAGCTCGACCTCAGCTGACAGAGAACCTGACAGAGAACCTACAGCTTTCATAAAGGTCAGATTTTGTGGGGATTTTAGTGTCCCTTGTCATCCTGAACTTTTTTTTCTTCTTAAATCCTTCGGTTTTGTTTAAATCCACACTTTAGTGCCACAAACTCTGCTCGTCTGGCTCTCGCTCTAACTCCCGCTCTGATGAACTGCTCTGATTGGTCAGAGCGCGGCCGAGCCCCTCTGTGCACGTGCGTGAGAGCCACACACGCATATTTGGCGCAAAGCATCATGGAAGCTCAGAGGGGCTTGGTCTGATCCAAGCCCGGCGATCCAAGATGGCGCCCTGTTCAAATGAATGGTTGTGCTCAGTGGCACTTTGTGATGGCATGGGGTCTGAAAGATTAGCGGAAGTTGCCTGAAACTCGCAAAGAACTTTGGGAAACTTGCCTGTATTTGGGCATCGTCTGGTCCTCCTGGTTCTGTGCAGTGGATGATCTCCCTTAACCTCCTGAGACCCGAGCATTTGTCTGGTGTGCATTTTATATATTTTTTTGCTATTTAGGATAAGTAGGACCCAATAAGTATAATACCTAAATTGTGATTTTGTACAGGAAGTAGTTTTTGAGAAAAAACATGTCCTCGCATGAGGACAGTGGGTCTCTCATAACCTAAAGAGAAAATGTATGATCTTTTAGGCCGGAAGGTCCTAATTAGTTGAAATTCAAAATTTCAGCTTGATCCAATTAGTACTTCTCTCAAAAATCAATGTCCTCACATGAGGACAGTGGGTCGACCTTACTATACAATACAAATAGACTCCATTGGTCTAAAATAGTATATAACAGTTTATTTGAAAAATGTAAACATCAAAGTTAGACATAAAATCCAAACAGCTCTATCTTCAAAGCCTAAAAATGTCATGGTGTGGACATTTTGACCTGGTTGAGTTTGAATCCTGCCTGTCCTGTTGATTGTTTCCCCGCCCTAATGTGATTCACCTGTGTGTCCCTGTGTGTGTATATATACCCTGTGCCCTTCCTCACTTGTTGTCCGTCCATTGTCTCCACAATGTTTGTCCTGTCTTCAGTTCTGTTTTTACATTACCTTGGATTTATTTTATTAAATTACTTTGATTTTCAGTCCTGCAATTTGGGTTCCCTTTTTCTTCATTCATCCACATGACAAAAAATTGGCTATACATAAATAAAACCGCAAAATACTGTGTAAACTGTCTATTTCAAGCCTTCAATATGGCTGAATTGAATTGATAAATACAATACTAGAACAAATAATGGCAAATATTATTAACAGTCCTAAAACAGTAAAATTCTGCTGAACAGCTTATGAACTGGGGCTTTTTTCAAACTAGCTCCCTCTGTTTTTCTAGAAAGCAATCTGTCTGCCTGTTTGGAAGAGCCCTATTGGCAAGTGCGAAATGCTGCAAAGCAGTTGCATTCACTTTGCAAGCACAGGTACACATTGCATGTCATGCATCGGACACAGGCTTTTCCAATGCAGTCTTGTGCTCTGCAATGCATGGGGTTTTTCAAGGCTACCATCTCCGGGTTAGGGTTAGGATTACAATATCCCCAGTCGAGGTCAGCAGCTCTCCACCCGCACCATACACGGTGTTGGCAAAGCACTGCTTCCCCCTCCTGAGGCGCCGGAGGGTTTGCCATAACCTTTTTGAGGGCGACCGATAGTCATGCTCCATGGACTCTCCGAACTCCTCCCAGTCCCGGGTTTTTGCCTCTGCAACAGCCCGGGCCGCGGCACGCTTGGCCTGCCGGTACTGGACAGCTGCCTCAGGAGTCCCACGAACCATCATTGCACAATAGGACTCCTTCTTCAGCCTGACGGCATCCCTTACTGCCGGTGTCCACCACCGGGTTCGGGGATTGCCGCCGGGACCAGCACCAGAGACCTTGCGACCACAGCTACGAGCCGCTTTATTGGTGATAGAGGAAGAGAACATGGTCCACTCGGACTCAATGTCCCCCTCCTCTGGGTCCTGGGAGAAGCTCTGCCGGAAGTGTGAGTTGAAAGTCCGTCTGACAGGGGGCTCAGCGAGACGTTCCCAGCAGACCCTCACTATACGCTTGGGCCTGCCAGGTCTGACCGGCTTCTTCCCCTGCCAGCGGATCCAACTCACGACCAGGTGATGATCGGTTGACAGCTCCTCCCCTCTCTTTACCCGAGTGTCCGAGACACGCGGTCGAAGGTCAGATGATACGACAACAAAGTCGATCATCAACCTCCGGCCTATGGTGTCCTGGTGGACACCCTTGTGCTCGAACATGGTGTTCGTGATGGACAGACCGTGACTGGCACAGAAGTCCAACAACTGAACACCGCTCGGGTTCAGATCAGGGGGGCCGTTCTTCCCGATCACCCCTCTCCAAGTGTCACTGGCGTTTCCCACATGGGCGTTGAAGTCCCCCAGGAGAATAACGGAGTCCCCGGGCGGTGCACTGTCCAGTACCCCTCCCAAGGACTCCAAGAAGGCCGGGTACTCTACACTGCCGTTAGGCCCGTAGGCCGTCACAACAGTGAGAGACTTGTCCCCCACCCGGAGGCGGAGGGACGCGACCCTCTCATTCACCGGGGAGAACTCCAACACGTGGCGGCTGAGATGGGGGGCAATGAGTATGGCCACCCCAGCTCGCCGCCTCTCCCCGCGGGAAACACCAGAAGATGACTGACAGGTATGAGATGATGATACAATCATCCCCATCTGAGAAGTCCTCTATCTCAGAGTTGTCTGCAATTGCCAACAGCAATTGTTCTGCTCTTGACAATGAAAGTGTGCCTGTAATGATAATGTTAAAAACCAACATCAAAATCTACAGTATATCAGTGACACTTCATAGCTTGGCTATCATGTGCTAGCTATAGCCTAGCTATATTGTTTATGATTTAGAATTTAGCAACACTAAACAATACTTAGCATATACCACTTAGTACTTAAATATACTATTTACAACTGTAAACCACATAACTAAGCAAATGTGTGATTCAAAATAACTATTTACAACTGTAACTTCATCTAAATCTTCCACACGGTTAGCTAAACAGATAGCGGTACATAGTCCTAGCGTCCTCAAACGAGTGCTTCACTTTTACTGACATCCTAGCCTGCTACTACAATCAAAATTTGTCAAATTTCAAACTCGATATGAAGCTAGAGACATTATTGTGCATAAAAAAATGGATTTCATTCATAAAATGTTGATAGAATTTTTACCTGGGGCATTTTTCTTCTGTAAACTCTTGTAGACGTCTTTTGCTGATATTGCCACCATTTTTTTCCTACTGCCTTAAGTGTAATTCTATCATATCACCACAAGATGGCGCGGGCAGTGTCCCTAAATGTGGCCATCAGGTCAAGGATGTAAAAAATTGAGTATCATTGTGCCAAGAGGCAAAAATGTAATGTCCTCGTATGAGGTCGCAGGGTCTCAGGAGGATAATGCATTGCGCCAAACACGCGTGTGTGGGTCTCACATGGGTCTCACGCACGTGCACAGAGGGGCTCGGCCGCGCTCTGACCAATCAGAGCAGTTCATCAGAGCGAGAGTTAGAGCGAGAGCCAGACGTGCAGAGTTTGTGACACTAAAGTGTGGATTTAAACAAAACCGAAGGATTTAAGAAGAAAAAAAGTTCAGGATGACAAGGGACACTAAAATCCCCACAAAATCTGACCTTTATGAAAGCTGTAGGTTCTCTGTCAGCTGAGGTCGTGCTGTTTTAATATGCATTGAGTTCTATGGGGAAAGTTTCTGGGTAGCCCACGTGAATTTAGTCTGGTTCAGTCTGCAGTACCGCGAGAATCCCCTGAGCACATGAGTTATTCAGCTACAAGCTGTAATACCCTATCCAGTTATTATTATAGATCCATGGTCTGATCCCAGAGGCTGCAGTTTCTTGGGTTAAATCCCCTCTGACCATTGAGCTCTTTAGCTTTGATGATGATGCAACATCAGATACAGCATTAGTTTGTCAATGTTCAGTCCCTTCTCAAATAAACCAATACAATAAATGAAAAACTGTCCAGATCTGTGCTCCTCGTTAGCGT